TAGCCTTTATAGAGGAAAACAAATGCCTTTACATCGGCTCTCTTAATCCTTTGGGAAGAATTTCAGAATGTGTTTGGCCTGCAAAGGGAAATACACTGTGTGGTGGCAGCCTTGTAAATCAATAGTTTATGCTTTGTTTATGATTTAAAGTTTTAGCGTCCCGCAGAATTAACTGGTTCCTTTGGACGCTGGCCCTAATATCCTGTTTTAGGGTGGCTCCTTGCCCTTGCAGGGTCCTATGGAGCCACCCCTTGTGTGTGCTTGTAAGCTATGTGTGTTTTCACAAAAACACAGGCACAAGCACAGAAACCCACTTCCCTGCTTTCTGTTACTCTTTCCCACTTCCTCCCATCTTTAAGCTAGCAGATGGACAAGTGCTGGAGCTGTCCTATTCCTTGTGATCTTGTACTTGACAGGAAGTGCAGGGAGGCAGAACTGAGAGAGTTGAAACCAACTGTTAAGAAACATGATGACTAAGTGCTAGGGCAAACATTTGAAGAAATACTTTGTTGGGCAGAGTACATTTGTTTGTTCTAGATTCATTATTGAGTAAATACATTAAACAGCTTGAAGGTTATTTTTGCTGATGTAATAATGAGCAGTAGATGTGCACCAAACCAAACTTTAAGGTAGGGAGCTAGACGTATATAATGTCTTCATGTTTGGATTTTTTTAACTATAAAAGCAATGTCAGTAAATTGGCAACTTTATATACCTCTTTTAACCCTTTCGCTGCCAAGCCCTCCGGAACATTTTTCAAATCAGCTGGCCAAGCCATTTTTGCATTTTCTGCAATTTTTTCCTATTGATTTGATTTTCAACTGCTGCATGAAAGTACAGTATATTGCTACACCTGTATTTGTGTAATGCACTGCTTACTCTTCGTGTTCCCCTTCCACAAATGTCAAAGTAATTTACTTTCTTTGTTCCTGTGCTGGCTCCTCATCTATCTCCCACTGCCACTTAAGGGTTTTGCCCATAGTGTCGTAAACATATCTTGTGACTTGGCACATGACATGGGTGTCTATTTAGACTTGATCAGGACAGGCTGTCACTGCTCAAGCAGTGAACCATTATTCCTCACTATCAGTGCATTAGAGCTCCCTGCTTCTGCAAACCTTGCTTGTTAACAGTGTTCCCTGAAACTTGAGTACCTTTCTTGTCATCAGTGCACCCATCACCCTTAGGACCTTGCTCGTCACTGGTACACCCTGCAACATGTGTCCCCAGCTTGCAATCGGTGGACCCTGTAACCTGAGTACCTTGTTACCAGTACACTGCTGGCCAACAATAAAACCTGAAACCTGAGTACCTTGCTACCACCAGTACAGCATTGCCGCCACCCAGATAGCAAGGACAACTTGCCACAAACTTGTGGCAGGGTTACATTGTAATTCTTGTTAACTTGCTGCACACATTCCTGGCAAGTTGGAGACTTGCAGAACACTTGCAGCACAAATTCTAGTTAACAATTTTTTAATTTGTAGCAAATTTGCTTAGGAGGTCTACAGCAAGAGTCCTGTAGGTCTTAGCAAGAGCTCTGCAAGTGTACAGCACATTTGCAAAGCACGTTGACCTGGAGACTCGTAATGCAGACTTGCTGTAATTGTGCAACAAAATTGTGAAGCTTGGCAAGTCTAGCAATAGTCTAGCAAGTCATTTTCAAAATTGCAGCTCAATGGCTTGCTATCTGGGCAATGCACCCAACTATCTGGGTATCCTGCTACCAATGCTATCAGTGTCATTAGTACTTCCTTGTACTGTGATCCTTGTGTCATCACTGCAGCCACTTGTACCTATACTACATGCTACAATTTCTACGCAGCCACCTTTACTACCCTGGAGGCACCTACCCCCCTCCATGACCCCCACTACCTGTTGAGTGACTTGAAGTAGCTTACAGGTAAGTATAATGTCCTGTGAGGGGTCCCTGGCAGAAAATCAGCTATCTCTTAGACTGAATGAAAATCACACCACTGTGTTCTTACTACACTGAAAAAAATAGTTAATAATAAAAAGATTTATCATAGGGAATCACTATTCCCTTTCTATTATCAGCGTAAAGACGAGAGCTGTTAGCGGAGAGTAGGGGACAAAATACATGACAGGATGTTAGGAAAGCTGGAATATAAGGATCAGAAATTCCAAAACATCTCTAAGACAACTATAAGGAAACACTAATTTCTTAGGATTCCAGATGCTAGTGAAAGGAATAGAAACTGAACTATTAACAGCTTGTTTAAAATGGCATTGCAGCCCAAGGGTGCATTTTTTCTTTATATTTAAAGGATAACAGGTGAGAAAAATTAATATGCGGTTATATTATAAACATGGGCTTTCAGTGACAGCAGTAGCATTAGCAAACAACATCTCAGTGTGTTGAGAGACCTGGGAAAATTATGAACAGGTCTAGTAGATAATGATTGGTTAGAATGGCTTAAAGAACCTGCAGAAGCTTTAGTGACCTAGCTAACCTAATAAACATCAACACAGAGAGACTATGATAACAGGGACTATTTAAAAAGGGAATTAAAGCCTCCAGGTATAACAATGTAATATCAATGTAATTCTGAAACAAAATATATACTTAGCAAGCTGCCACTAATGGAAATGTTTCTGTTTTAAAAGTGATAGACACACATTAAATGTTCTGAAACATACTATACTCATTTAAAGGAAGTATTTTTCATAAGCACATCTCAGTTATTATATTATATATTAGTTATACAATTTTACACTCTTAAATGTATATATATATTGGATTGGAACACATTCTTTTGTCAAGACTACTCAAAAAAGAAACCTACTTTTTATTATAGTCAAGTAAATGTTAAATATTGTATTTAAAAGTCTTCTACCCAGCCAGGTGGAGCTTTAAGCTACTTCTCGTGTGGTCTTTACTTCTACCTGCTGTAAAAAGCTCATTGTTTGTACAGTAGCTCAAGGGGACATAGACAACTAAATGACTTGTCATTTCACATCCCTTATCAGATGCCTTAAAAGGTTTAATCAGATAAAGCAATCTGTCAAGGAAGGCTGTTTCTGTTGTGATGTTTCTTTAGTTAATCAATGGTGCTCCATTATCCATTAAATATTCATCTTTAAAATAGAGCTTAAATACATGTGGTGAAAAGTTAGGCTACAACAGATTAAAACTTACAAACTTAAAGCCCAACTTGGTTTGGACTCCCCCCCGCCCCTAATTGTTATTATAATACAGGATTTATAAAGTGCCAACAGTTTGCACAGCACTTTACAAAATGAAGGAAGACAGTATAGTTACAATACAATTCCAGACAAGAGGGTTAGGAGGGCCCTGCTTGTGATTGCCCATATGATCTAAAGGGGAAGAGCAAAGGATACAAAAATTTAGCAACTGTGTGGGGATAAGTTGTTTGAGAAAGTAAACTGTCAGTTGTTCAGGTCCTCTTCACTCTTTACTTCCTTTAGCAACAGTGGGCAGATACTAAATGCTGCAAAAAACAGCAGTCTTTGCAGAATTCACCTTTTAAACAAGGACTCACTTTCTGTGACTCTGGACTCACAGGAAGTGAGTTGAATGATGCTGGGCATCATTCAACCGGGTAGTGGAGAGGTGCCGTTAAGCTACAGTGTGAGTCTGTGGGGTACAGAGTTGGAAAGAGGTCGAGTATAGCAACTGGAGGTGCTTTTTCAATTGCTCGGCAATCAATGTATTTTGTTGCTTAAGTTGAACTTCAGTCAGACAACTGTGAAAAGAATTGTTGGGTAGCACTACAAAACAAGAAGCAGGGCCTGCATTTGCAATAAGCAAATACATATGCACCATGTACATCTATTATTAGAAAATATATAAAATTGACACATAATGCTAACATTATTTACATCAAGCTGATCTCTTTTGCAAGTATAATTGAAAATACTTTACACTTCTTGCTTATATATCACTTCAGTGAGGTTTCTAGACTGGATTATATAATTAGAATTTGTTTTGACATTTTAAAGCACAACATCAACCTTAAAAATAGTAAATATATTACTAAAGGTACTAGCAGCAGTAGATTACCACATATTCACTGCAAACAATGGCAAGCTATGTTAACCTTTCTTTTTGCTGTTCACCATTATATTACAGAGTCAAGGCTGGTGCCTTACTGTTCTCCCCCTTCCACAGTCAAAAGCATGAGAGCTCTTGCATTCTAAATGTTCACGTCTACCTGAAGATCTTTAACATACATTTGGATTTATAGAGCCAATTCCAGCCTTCTAAAAGACCAAAAAATCAAAATACTCTGAAATCTGTCCAGACAGCTTAACATCAAAAACCTATTAATTACTAAAACATCCTTCTCACTTGATTGCCATCATGACTCATTACATTGCTAAACGTGAAGACACAAACTAATTTGTGCAGATGTGATTGGAAAGCGTATTAGGCCAATTAACCTGAATCTCCCTTGTTTGCATGTACATCTTAACGGCTATTGTTTTATCTCTTCTGTATGCAGTTATGAGAGAGGAGAATGAATAATTGTGAATAAATGAGACTCTTATCTATGCCATTAGTGAGCTTTGTGCCTCAGAATACAAATTTGTACATACAAGAAACTGTTCTGACATCTGATGCTGGGGAGATATTGATTAGAAACAATATCACCCCCTCTGTGGATTAAAGGAATTGCTATTAAAAAAAATGAATAGTGATGTTGCACAAGTTGAAATAAAAATGAGTATAGATAATAACCTCTTTGTAATTCCTTTTCCACGATAAAGCCTAAAATGTATTTCTTATATGCAAACCATGTGCAAAAGAGATGTTAATGCTGTCTAACATAAAAAGGTAAATGTTATCATCTATTCATCTACTCTACATATACACATATTACTAGGTGTGCATGCTTTTTGAAGTTGGCCATAGAACTAAAAAGGTACTTAAATGGTTGTTAATGATACAACCATGGCACATTTATCCCCTTTCCTCCCCTTTTACTTGAACATATTTTTGTAATGATCTATGAAACATTTTCATAATGTAGGCTAAGCGTTCTTTTAATAAAGGTCTGTTTGTATGTCTAGAAAAAGAAAACACATCAATTCTTATTGTCAGCAGCAATTTAATGACCACATTTACCAACATCTTTGGCAGTTTCATCATTGATTTGTATATTATAATCATGGCACATGGTAGTGTTGCAGGTGGCGTGCTTCAATATTGGGTCAAATGTTCAATATTACTCAGCTATGGCAGCATTTATGATCACTGTTATTTAAAAAAGAAACCATTTACATTTATATTTTATTAATTCTATACATTTTTGGAAGATAGCTTACACCATGGGGCAAACAATTTTTAAATGACCATTAGACCACTGTAAAATGTTTTTTTTTTAAGCAACCTATCCATATAGTGCAGTTTATCACAGACAAGGTCAAGGGAGAAGTACAACATCTATGTTTGCATGCTCCTTTTACTGTATGCTTGGACATTGTTCTAAGGCATCTTTACATTTTAAATATCCGTAAAAGAACAAAAATGTTCAACCAGCTTGTTCAACAGTTTAAATAATTGTACTTCATCATCATACTTCTGCACACACACACAGTTACTTAGCCATTCAGAGAAATTTGAATCACACAAGTGAAAAGACTATTTGTGCCCAAGTAACTTAATACTTGTCACACTTACCTGGTTTCTCTGTTCTTTGTGCTCAGCTTTCAGCCTACTGCAGGTCTCAGAGAAGACCTGGTGGTCTTTAGACTCTGAGCCTCTATCACACTCCCTGCTAACATGTAGTCATTCTATTTCTACGCTCCCGGAGTCAAGAGTCCCAATGACCCTTGCATTGCCTGTATCTAGAGTCCCAAGTGTCCTTACACTCTCTGCATCCAGAGTTCCTAGTGTCATTCCAGTTTCTGTTAGTGTCTGGCTGTCCTGAAAACCCTGTAACCAGTATCCTCAGTGACTACTGTTACCAGACCAAGAAAACACTAAAACACATGACAGTTTTACATGTTTACTACGTCACTGATTTGCTGCCAGCCTAGACTTTAGAATAGCTATCCTCTAAATTAGGAAAATCAGTAAATGGGAAATCCCAGGCTCTGGTTTGCCATGGTTACTGGCAAAAGTCCTCTGGCACCTATGATGTCTTGTCCATAAACCTCCTTTCCCCAAGACCTGTTTGTCAGATGGATGGCCTGCTGCACTGTGTCCACCACTGAGAAGAGCGACTGAGCCTTTTCTACATTTTGTCATGTGACTTATTTGTCACCTTTCTGTCACACGACACGGGCACATGGAAAACTCTAAACAGCTTTCTTTACGTAACAGTTACCAATCTGAGTGGAGGTGCTCTATGATTACTTATTCCCACTATTTCCAAAAGCTGAAAATCTTAAACAGCAGGGTGAGGGGGGTAAAAGAAAAGTATTTATGGCTGCTGTGGGGTGGGGGTTAGAGAACTGTATTTATGGATGCTACTGATGGGGTTTTAAGAGACGTGTATATATGAATACAGGAACATTTATCCATGACTGCTCTAAGCCATACATGATACTTTTATGAGAAAACCCTCAAAGAAAAGTTTAACTCTCATACAATCACAGAGCCAATGAAAGCTTAATATCTTCCCAATTCTGACCACAGCAATTCCTTTCTTCTGGTCTAATAAAAGACATCTACTGCAAATACAAACTACTGCCAAACCAGTATCAAAGTTCCTTATTTGTTGCACACATTTATCAAGCCTAGATTGACTTCCCATTGCCTTTACAATAAATTTAATTTTATTATGGTTTGAGTACAAACATCCCACACCTACTTTGAAAGTTTCTAAACTTAATTAGAACAAAGGTAATCTGCTTATGACAATTACAGAAATGTCAATAGAATTGGCTAAATGATCTAAATGTATGTTACATATTATTTGAGGTTGAATAAAGACACAGGTCCATCGAGTTCAACCTTTATGTGTAAGTGTGTGTGTAGTGCGTGAATGTACACAGATATGCCTTTAAAACATGCGTATTACACAGTGTATCCACTGTTTGTCAACATACAGCACCACAAGTATTCACCATCCTGGCCCTGCCTTCTATGGGAACATTACCCAAGACCAAAGGAGCTCATAGATTGTCCCAGTGCTGGATATAAATAAACAATGGAGCAGAGGCCATTAGATTAGTGTAAACATGCATTTGTGGAGGATGATTAGGCCAGGGATATGGGGTGAAAAGAATAAGTGCTCTCTCTTTTAAAGTGTTTTAAAGTTTAAATTTAATGCCGAAAAATGTAAGGTACCAAAAGGCCACGGGAACAGTAATGTCCCATATACATTAAATCACAACTGGAAAAACAGTCCTAGCAGGATTTGGGAATCCTGGATAACAATAAATGTTTGGCAGCACTGCTGAATTCCAAGCAAAAGCTACAGAAACCATTTCTTGAGGTATTTTCTGTAAATGTATAATTTTGTAAATTTTGGGTGGGCACTGTGTAAAAAACCTAGACATTTGGGCAGATTTAAAGGCAGTAAGGAAATGAACAAAAGAAAATCTTTTTCTTCACAATGAAGGATTAAAAAAAAAGTCACAGAGAGAATGTAATCTATGTTCTAAGGTATCTAATGTCATATATCCAAGGCCAGTATAAACATGAAATGTATTTCTTATCTATGCAAAGGACAAAGGGACATCAGTTTTGCATGATATAAAAAAAATGTGTGATCATTTATGAAAAGTTAGGATTGATTGACTTCTTCCCACCGTGGGTACGCATGTACGTGACAGTACGGACATGGGCATTACTCCGTGTTGCCACATATATGCATCGGTGTTTTCTGAATTTGTCCATTCCTATAACCAGATATAATATCATAAACACTTGTTTTATTAAATACAGACTGGAAAGAGACAGAGACATACAGTGAGGGGAATTTATCAAAACTGGAGCAGACAAAATCTGGAGCAGCTGTGCATGGCAACCAATCAGCATCCACCTTTCATTTTCAAACCTTAACTGAACAAACTGAAGAGAGAAGCTGATCGGTTGCCATAGGCAACTGCTCCAGATTTTTCTGCTCCAGTTTTGATAAATCCCCCCAGTATCTATAATGAATCGTTATTACAGTCTCCAGATTTTCAGATCTGCAACACACATTGAAACTACATATTTGAGGATTAGAATACAAATGATAATCATAATTGAAAACAATCATAATTGAAACCACAGACACTCAAAGCACCAGGATCATGCACATTTTCACTCAAGTATTTTACCGTACATTGCAAGGCTGTTAATTCATTTAGCCAGAGTATTTATGTAATATATTGGTAAAATATTTATTGGACAACACACACACATGCTGTTTACAGGAATATCGCACCTTCAACAATGAAAAAAAGTGATGAACCCCATTGTTTTCCAAATGGAAATTGTATATATATGACACACACATACAGTGTATAAACACACACACCTATATTATTTAAAAATATGATTTACTTGTGGATAGTTCTTCAGTTTAGAATAATAATTATGGAGTTTCCCTTTAAGAAAAAAGTCCAGAGTGTACAGAAACTCCAGCAAATAACTTCTCTAATTTGCTCCTTTTTGGTCTGTTAAATACACCATTGAAAGCCTTCTTGCACACTCCACCTGTGCTGACTGTAATCAGTTATGATTGTTTCCAGCTATCTCTATGGATTACAGATCACTTTCCCTATGTTATGGCAATGAAGACTTCTCCTAGGCTGACAACATTGCTCCTCTACATTTACAGTATGGTGAGTGAGCGTTGTTACCCTTGGACAGGAATTGTGTTAGTGCCAGAATCACCAGGTAAAACGACATTGAAAAAAAAAAAGCCTAAAAAAGAAAACAAATGCAGCCACCATATCTAAGGACTGGCAAGTTGCAATATATTACATTTGTGTTACTTTTAGATATGCTAGATAAAAATGTGCTTCTCTCTTTTTCTCAGTGAAAGTGGAAAACAGCTTTTTGTATGCCAATTTATGAATTATAAAAATTTACACATTTGCAGTCTGAGCTATGCAAAGCAGTGATAATCAATAGTTTTGAACAGTATTCAAATTTCAGACCATAACTAAATCTGATGTTAGAGGGAATAAAATAAAATTTTTAGTTTGCAGTTTTTTCCCCTAGGAAGTGCTTTGACAGATATATTTAAATGAATCTGGCATCATTTACTGATGGACTATCTACACGAGGCACTAGCTACAGAAGAAAAACAACTATCTTTGCTAATTAGCATAAACATCTTGATAAATACTGACCGTCTGATCTATGCCGCTGCAAAGGTGCTTGGAAAGAAAAATTACATTCTTCCTATTTCCAAAGCACATTTGTACTCATCTAGTTTGCACATCCCTACTGAGCACTTAAGCAACCGTCTAGTAAGGAAGAAATACATTTTTAACGGATTTTGCTCCTGAACTAAATATTATTCCCCAAACCAACCAGCGGCAAGTCTCAATACTCAGGTCTACTGAGTCATGAATAACCATGTAATTCATTTATTTATGACAGCTGTGGTACATAAAATATTCAAATTTAATTTTTTTTTTAGATTGTCACAACTTCTAATTTTTATTCTTGGCATTTAAAGAGTAACCCCACTTAAACGGCACATCGTATAGGAGTTGGAGTATAAAAAGAGTCAACAGTTACTTAACACTTGAACAAGCTCTTGGAAGTATCTACTGAGCTTTATGAAAAACTTGCTGGTTGGGAAATTACCTGAGAGAATTGTTTTTATGTGAACATTTACTATAATTCACAAGAGGCAACAAGCAAAATGTAAACCTTTTATATTTAGCACACTGAACGTTTGCAATATGTTAGGACCGGCAAAGAAATCACAGCATTTAAAATACAATTAGACTCTTGGATTGTCAAGCCATAACAACTAAACCTGCATCTGGCACATATGGGTGTGAACTGTTTTACCAGGCATGGGATTTCTAATTCTATTGAGGCACTCCTCTGATTCACACACACCTGTTAGGCCG